CAAACACACACAATATCAATCATTCATCCATGGGCAGGTAAGAATCTCCAGCTATAATACCTAACTCCATTCCAATCCTACATGAATATACCAAATCTATCACTTTAACCAAAAAGGGTGCTAGAAGAAATACTTTGCACGACGGAAAATTTATAATTCAGGTTCATTATAGCCTATAAAATTAACTGAGTCACATTCTGGTGGACCTAAGTTCCAGGACAAAACCTAGAGGGTTAGCCGGAGGGAAAATGGCTAGTTCATGGGATCCCTAGGTACAAGCCAAGAACTTTAGCCAATGCAAAGCAAAGAAGGCACCTTCAGTGCACTTCATATATCTCGGGTGAAGTTAGTGTGGTGTCTTTCGGATTTGTTGGACTCCGTTTCCCATCTGTCCCAGTCATCATGGCTGATGGCCAGAGATGGTGGGAGTTGGAGTCCAACAATATCTGAACTGCCATCTTTCCCCCTTCCATGAATGAATAAAGCAAATGAACTCAGGTATCTGGAGTGCTTACTGCACCTTGTCCCCATTGTTTTGCCACACCATTTTTTGATCAGGTAGTGCCGCCAGTGTGGTGTAGTGGTTAAGAGCGGTGGACTCGTAATCTGGTGAACCGGGTTCGCTTCCCCTCTCCTCCACATGCAGCTGCTGGGTGACCTTGGGCTAGTCACACTTCTCTGAAGTCTCTCAGCCTCACTCACCTCACAGAGTGTTTGTTGTGGGGGAGGAAGGGAAAGGAGATTGTTAGCCGCTTTGAGACTCCTTAAAGGGAGTGAAAGGCGGGATATCAAATCCAAACTCCTCTTCTTCTTCTCCTGTGCCACCAATTAAGGTGGCTTTTTGGGTGTGTCTCTGCGTGTGTCCTTCCCAAGAGCCTCATGTTAGTCCTTAGCTGGGGACCCCGCCGATGGTGCCATGGTGTCCTTCCAGGTTGGAGAGACAGATGAAGGTGATTTCCATTTGACACCCCAACCCAATAGGAAGGACGACAGTGGAGAATCTCATAAATACAAAAAGGAAAGAAGAGAAATAAACCAGGAATGTGGGTAGGTGCCTTGTCTGCCAGCCAATCATCAGAGGAGATTCCAGCAGCTGCCCTCCGCTCACTGCTATAGTTCAGAGCAAGTGAGTAGCAGAGCATGAGACAACCAGCTCCTACATGTACAGAACCCTCAAACAGAGTTAATTTGCAACTTGAATTGTTTACAAGGGAATTGCATCCTCTGAATGGTTGCTGAATGGGTCTGTGATTCTTCACTGATCATTCATTTAGAAACACATTCTGCCTAAGCAGGAGCCTCCAAATTCAACGGCCAATTTCCAGAGAAAGAAAGTTATACGACACTGTGGAATAGGCTTACTCTGTCCCACCCACTGTTGGCCCCAACTCCCAACTGACACATCCCGTGAGTCATCATCAGAGCAGGCCTAAGACATTCTGCTGCCTGAGGCAAAGGACAACATGCCCTTCCCCTGACCCCACCCATTCCATTTACAGAAACCTGACAGGAATGGCATTTGAAGCATCCTTCAATACTGGCAATAGAAAACATGGTTGGTAATACGCCGCCGTGTGCAATGCCAACATTTGGCTCTGGCTTAAGTCAGGCTTTAAGAAGGAAGTGTGAGGCTCTGACAGGGTCTAGAGGCCTCCTTCATCCTTCTCAAAGTCTGGTAAGTGCTTGCCTGGCTTTGGGAAGGAGGCAGGGCCGGTTCACTCCAGCGGAGATTACTCCGTGGGCCAGATTGCGCACGCGTCTGCGCAGACGCAATTTCCGGCACCGCAGAAGCGAGTCCCTACGCCATGCTGGGCCAGTTTAGCGCAGCGCACTGGGACTAGCCAAGTGGGTGGCTCAGTTCGGGGGTGGCTTGGGGCTGGTTAAATGACCCCCGTGGGCCACTTGTGGCCCAAGGGCCTTAGGTTGCCGACCCCTGCTCTAGCACACCTGGGGGCAGCAAGCTAGTGTAAGGGGTACAGGACAAGCTGTGTGATGCACCCAGCCCTATCCTCATACAAGGCGGATTGCCTAGGAGTTCAGGAGGAACAGCATCTGTTGTCTGAGGCAATTGCTCTGCCCAATGGAATAGCCAAGCTACCCTAGAGAGGAAATGTATCTAGGATGTCAGCATTCAGCAAATTTCAGGCACACGCGGTAACATATAAATATAAATACACACACACACACACTCCTCCAGATTTCTCAGAGTCATTCCACATTTTCATTTTTCTGCATAACAAATACCGTATTTTTCGCTTTATAAGACACACCAGACCATAAGACACACCTAGTTTTTGGAGGAGGAAAACAAGAAAATAAATAATTCTGGATCTCAGAAGCCAGAACAGCAAGAGGGATTGCTGCGCAGTGAAAGCAGCAATCCCTCTTGCTGTTCTGGCTTCTGTGATAGCTGCGCAGCCTGCATTCACTCCATAAGATGCACACACATTTCCCCTTACTTTTTAGGAGGGGAAAAGTGAGTCTTATAGAGGAAAAAATACGGTATATTCTTTCTCATTGATGCAAAGGGTGAAATATCTCTTTTCTGACATTGGCACTTTTGTTGAGGAGGGTGTCTACTCAGCACACTTTATTGTTTGTTTATTCCTATGGTGCCACTAAAATAACCACTTACATGCCTGATCATAAATATCAACATGTATGTTGCCTGGCAGAGTGGGGAACCCCTCCTACAGTCTACTTACTTTGATGACAGCTCATTCAGAGGCATGTTTACTGCTCCTTTTCAAAACTTTTTGCATGTGTATAGAGATCTTGCTTTCCCCTCTGGCTTCGGAGTCGACTTGGATTTTGGTGGGGGGCAAATTAACCTGTTTTCTTGTTTCTCTTCTTCCCAGGGCGAAAATGAAGGAAATTAACCCTCCTAGTGTGAAAAGTGGGAATCCCAGGAGTAAATGCAGAAATGTTAGCTGCCACCAGAGCAGGGAAATCACTCATCCCCTAGGCTAACTTCATTCAGCACTACAGTCTTTCACTTGCCTCATACCGACATATCATAGATGTCTAGCAGACTCTTGACCATCTGTTTTAGGGAAACTGTGTGCAGCAGAGCTCTGTCTGTCCCCGTCCCCCCCCCCGTCTCCTTTGTGGCTTCCTTCCTTCCCCATCTTCAAAGCCTTCTGAGCGTGTGGTTTGGTAGCCGTGATATAGCACAGTCGTGGTTGGAATTGCTGGTTAATGTCTTCTGCCCATTAGCATCAGCACTTGAGATTCCTAAAAATGGTGGACTTTTTTTTTTAAAGAAAAAAAGAGAGACAAAATAAAACAACTTGTTTCAACTAACTCTTTGTTTGCGCCTTCTCAGTTTATTCATCATTCTGACTGTGAGTCTTGTTGGTTATAGTAGTTTTGCCTTTGTAAGAGGCATACCACACCAGCATTAAAAAAATAGAAGGGGGGAATGAGTGAGTGGTTGGTTTATATTATCAGCTGATCAAAGAGTCTAATCTTGTGCCGTCAGAGCTGATCCCTTTTCATTAATATCTACGAACGCTTTAAACTCTTGAATATGACCAAATCTATATCAGTGTGCCTTCCTCCAAATCGCATCTCAGATTTGCTTAAATTTGCAGCTGTAAGACAAGTGTATCAGATTGTGGTCTGGTGCATATAAATATAATAATTATGCTGAGCTTGCCAAACAACTAACAACTGTCTGAGTTTGAGGCCCCCTTTGAACTTGAGGTCCAGCCAAATGGCCCTCCTGCACACACAAACACTGGCTGGCCTTGCTTGTGATACAGCTGAGGAATTGGGGAGGGCCTCTTTCATATATTTTGCAATCCTCAGACTGACAGGGAAGGGATTTCCAGTGGCATCCAGTAAGCTATCTGTGCAGGTAGAATATAGAAGGTAAACTTCGAAGAGGATGCAAAGCTGTCATTTGGATCCATCGTCTTTTCCTTGCATCCCTAAGATAAACACAAGTCGCCATGTTCCTGGCAGAGGCTTCTGCAAAATGCTTCTTCCCTTGCGAAATCAGCAAGAGCAGAGCCAGGGCAGTGTTCATCTCTTAACAGGGACCACTCACAGTTGATTAGATGTGATTTGCTCAGTAGCTCTTGGGTGGAGCCAAGGATTAAAACAAAACAGATGATCCAGAACAAGCAGCGTGAGTCATATATTTCCTCTCATTTGCAACTTAAAAACAAGCACACTTCTAAATAATCCTTGAGCCAGATGTGTGTGCCTAGTGGTGTTTCTTGCAAAAGAAAAGCCTCTGGGTGTGGCAACATAAACTGGGGTTCCTCAAGCATTTCCTTGACTCAATTCACAGATTTCAGGGTCTCTGTGTACTGTCTCCCTATCTTTGCCCAGGACATCTTTGCCACATGCTATGGTGCTCAACTGCTGGTTCTTCAACACAGATCCAAAACGCAGGAAGCTGCTGTATACTAAGAGTGTGTACACACTACAAATTCAAAACACAAGAACCTTGGGAATTATAGTTTGTCCCTAACAGGACAACCACTCCCAGCACCCTTAACAAACTATGGTTCCCATAATTCTTTGTATGTGTGATGTGCATGCACAATTATACCACTTTAAACATGACGGCTTCCCCCAAGGAATCCTGGGAACTGAACTTCATTAAAAGTGCTGAAAGCTGTTAGGACACTCCTATTCCCCTCACATATCTACTATTCCCTGGGAAAAGGAATTGATGGTTAAACCACTCTGGGAACTGTTGCTCTGGAAGGGGAATGGAGTCTCCTAAAAACTCTCAGCACCCTTAACAAACGACAGTTCCCAGGAGTCTTTGGGGGAAGCCATGACTGTTAAAATGCTGTAGCATTGCTTTAAATAAATGGGGCAGATGTGGCCTAAGTCAGACCGCTGATCTGTCTAGCTCAGTATCAACTGTATAGACAGACAGGAGTCACTGCCAGCCCTACCTTGAGATGCCAGTGTTTGAACCCGGTGTTTTTTCCATGCAAAATATGTGCTCAGCTGCTAAGACATGGCTCCTCCCTACTGTAAAACTGCTTCATCACCTCATGTCTCCCCAAGTGCCAAAGTGGGTGAATGTCCCAAATCCAGGCCTTCCAAGGAACCTCTCAGCTCAAGGTCAACACAAAAGACAGCTGCCTCAATCTGTGTGTTTTATTAAGCCAGCAGCAAGCTGTTTCTGTTGTCTTCTGTTTTCAGAAGTCCGTGCATTGCCTGACGGGTTCTTTCCTTTCCTCGCCACCTGACACATCTGGACTGTACTTCATATTTGTTTGCTGGCTTCAGGTGGCTGTTTGCTCTCTCTGCTTTTTAAAATTCCAAGTCAAGAGATGAGAGACATTAATGGCCTGTCCAACGCTGCATTAAATGGTGAGCAAAACACGCCTCATTTACTAAAACACACTAGTTCGGCAATACGATTGCTAGAGTCAATACCGGTGATCCCGCGAACGGAAGCTCAGGTAAGTATTGACACAAACTCTGCTGGCTGCATGACTGGATTAGAAGAACCACTGAATAAAGCTCAGCTCACCACCATACCAGAATGGGGAAAGATGGCTTAGTGGTTTTTAGTAGTTTCTTGCATTTCATGGTATACCAATTCTCTTAAATAAATCAATAAAAAGGAAAGAGTTTGGAAGCAAGTAAAGTAATATGCACAAATTGCCTAAAGAGGGTATGCATACAAAAGACTGTTAAGACTTAAATTAATTAAACGAACCTATGCCATTTAAGATACTGCATCTATCCCATGAATGGTGCACAAAGGAGGATAAGAAGCCTGGACAGAGACATCTGAGCACCAGTACAGTGGTACCTCGGGTTACAGATGCTTCAGGTTACAGACTCCGCTAACCCAGAAATAGTACCTCAGATTAAGAACTTTGCTTCAGGATGAGAACAGAAATCGTGCAGCGGCGGCACGGCAGCAGTGGGAGGCCCCATTAGCTAAAGTGGTGCTTCAGGTTAAGAACAGTTCCAGGTTAAGAATGTGTTCAGAACGAATTAAGTTTTTAACCCAAGGTACCTCCAGAACGAATTAAGTTTTTAACCCAAGGTACCACTGTACGTTGTGTTTTTGGAGGCCTAGGATAAGTAGGAAAGGCCTTGGTTTCCTATACCCTTTTTCGAAGGATAGTACTTTGTAAATGTTTAGTGCAATAGAAATGAAATCCACATGCAGAGCAATAAATTGGAATGCAACCTTTGAGGACACTTCTGCAAAGGCAGGAGTAGCCAATGTGGTGTACTTTGGTGTATAATGTGGTGTACTCTATCCAACAAATAGTCGGGGGTGAAGGGGAGTTGTGGTTCAACAACATTGGAAGGGGGGCACCACATTGATTACCTCAGTATTGTGGATACACAGGCCCAGATACAAATGGACATTGGTGCCTCTCTCACACAACTGCCTCTGTGTTGCTCCGTGCTGACGTGCCCGCCATTTGCTCAGTTATTTTCCACCGAGATTCTATTCAGAAGGGATGAGCACTATTCCCACTGATGCAGAAAGAAAACGCTTGCTGAGACACACCTCCCACCTGGGAAAGGCAAAGAATTTGGCATTTTGACACGTGCCTTCAGTTTCGTTTATCTGGGCTTAAAATGCTAAGCCACCTGAATGCTCCACCTATTGAAAATATTTGTCGAATGAGCATTGGGGGGGGGCGGTGTCTTGGTTTGTATATAAAACCAGCATAGGCTGGAGACACTGCCGCAGAATGTTTAGAAGGCCGATGTTTTAAATTTGGTTAAGGACGGAAGCTGTTGAAAACAACCATGTCTGGAAAGCAGCCATGTTTTAAGGGCTTTGCTCAACAAGCTGAAGGGACTGTGCAGGATGCTGGTAAGAAACTCTATCTATCTATCTATCTATCTATCTATCTATCTATCTATCTATCTATCTTGGTTTCACTTCAGATGCCCAATGAAAAGGAGTTTTGTTCTCAGGGCTGGTTTATACATTCTCAGTAGCATCAAGCTGGTCTCCTTCCGTCCTGGTCTCTGCTTCTTGTAAACCAGAATGCACCCCTCTGAAAAAGTGTCTTGCAGATTGAAGACACTTCCAACTCTATGATTCTATGACTCTAGGAACTAACTCTTCCAACTCTATGATTCTACAACTCTGTGACATAGCAAGTTAGGCTGCATCCACACAGCATTTTATTCCATTTTCACAGTTTCCTTATCTGATAATTTCCACACTTTATGCAATCTTTCCCACAATGTAAAAGCCACTACTGGAAAAACAGCGGACTCTAGCAGAAGTTTAGTGTACATTTCCAGGTTATTTGGCTCCGGGGGGGGGGGGGGGGGACACCAATTTTACAACCAGTTAACTCAGCAAATTGCAGGAGTTCTGTGTTGTAGTGTCAGGTGAAGAAATTTCAGGCAGTATTTAAGCATACAGTTTTTTCTACAATATCAAATTTAGCATGACATGGTGGTATATTGAGCAACAAGCCACAGTTCCATAATGCAACAGGTGAGGCAGTATAAAAGAAACATTAAAATCTGGGGTAGAAGTGCTAGCATTATAATTAGGATTGTTGGTATCCGTCTGTCTTGGGAGAAAATGGAGGAGTGCGTCTTTGGGGGTGATGTCAAAACATTGGAAGGTTACAGTGCCTGCTGTGGCTGTAGAGACCGATACAGGAGAGACATGCTTTGTTGCAGTTGAGGCAGATGAAGGTTGTGCTGTTGAATTCAGCCTTAGACTCTATAAACAAGGTGTTAATGTTTTTAAATGCTTGAAGGAGGCTGAATTTCATTTAAAAAAACAAAAAACACCCATGTGCAGTCTGAAGTGGAACAGTCCAGGAAGAGCTTCACCAAAGAACAGGTTAGCCCTTCAGCAACAGGGATCTAACAATGGCATTTCTTGATTGACATTATATGCTTAATAGTCCTGAGCGTTAAAGTGGATGCAGCCTACTTTTATTACGTTTATTGCATTGTATCTTGCCTTTCCTCTGGAGAGCTCAGAGCAATGTGCCCCACTCTCGATTATATCCTCATGACTATGCTTGCAGGGGTGCCAAGTTGAATAAAATTGGGGGGGGGGAAGTGAGCCCCACCCCACATAAATGATCACATGAAGTGGCACACGCACACCATTTGAATGGCAATGCCCATCAATTTTTTGGGGGGGAGGCCCTCAAATATTTTATGGAGGCCCCCGAAAGGACCTCAGCCCCTAGGAGTTGGCTCTTATGCTACACTGTGAGATAGATCAGGCTGAGAGAAGGAATGGCAATGCAAGCATCAATGTTTGTTTGTTTGTTGTTGTTGTTGTTTAGTCGTTTAGTTGTGTCCGATTCTTCATGACCCCATGGACCAGAGCACGCCAGGCACTTCTGTCTTCCACTGCCTCACGCAGTTTGATCAAACTTATGTTAGTAGCTTCGGGAACACTGTCCAACCATCTCGTCCGTTGTCATCCCCTTCTCCTTGTGCCCTCAATCTTTCCCAACATCAGTTAGGGGAGTGGTGTGAGCTAGCCATCACTGTAGTACGCTCAGAGGAATGGTGAGATTTCTTTTCTGTACCGAAGTTAAATAGCCTTTCCTGCTCACCCCATTACTTGTGATGTCACTGCTTTCCTCTCTCCTAAAAACAACTCAATTCTGAAAAACATGTACATTCATGTCCTCAGATACCACTGATCAGCTAGGTCACAGCCATTCACCCAGGTGCTGTGATAAGGAAGATCTTGTTTTTCCTATGATATCTATGTACTCAGTGTGCACTCAAAGAACACCTTGTTATTGTCTGCTGATGCGTGTCTGATAAAGTTATCAATCTGAACCACGAGTCTAACCTCATGATGCAGGACCACACAGCTTGTGGACCCACCAAGAGCATCTCACAACCCATCAACTACAATCGGAAAATGTGCCAGGGATTCATTAAAACCCTTCGGGGGCTTCTGCATGCATGCATGGGGCTGCAAGAACACACCATGGATACCAGATGATCCTCAAGTATTGCTGATGTTTTCAGCTTGGTGGGGGTTACACTTTGCTAGGGGCGGGGGAGAATTGTGATTCAAATCACATTCAAAGGTGAGCCAAACTGATTTGCACTTCCTGAAACAATACACGAACCGAAATGCAGCCATCCTTCAAAATTTGCCACTTCTTCAAATTTTGCAACACAGTTCTCCGGTCAAGCAATATGTACAAAAATGCCTATGCTATTGTAAAGTGTACAAAAAAGTATGCATTGGTGAAAATAATGCACAAAAATGTTATATAAGGGGGACTGCCTGCGAAAATATGAATATTAAGCAAAATTGCATACAAAGAATGTGTACATTAGGCGAAATCACACTAAAATGGTGAATTTTCATGAGGACTTTAAAAAAAATTGCAAACTGATCTCAAAATTTCTACAAATTTTTACAAACGAACTGAAGATGGGAAAAATTAGCAACTGAAAGAACCCAAATTTACAGATTTTCTCACCCCTACAGTTTGCACAGGTTTTATTATAAACTGCTCTGGGAGAAGAATACGTCCTGAAAGAAACCTATAATATAAATAAAAATAAAATAAATATTGCCCTTTGATTTTCCTAGTCCCTTTCCTTTGTACAACTGTTTTTTTTAAATTAAATAAATCTGTTTTTTTCTCTTTCTTGCAGTAAACAAGGTGGGACAGGCCACGCAGCAAGTTGTGGACCAAGCTACCCAGGCGGGTCAGAAAGGTAGGACTCAAAATTGCTACTAGCTTAAAAGCAGATTGTCAATTCAGAATGATCTGTGCCTGTTCCATTTATGATATGCGTATACAACCCTTGGTAGGTTGCATAATGTCAGTGGTAGCCAAGCATCTGCTTTGTAAACATAATGTCTTTTCCCAGGGGAACTCTGAAAATTATAGCTCTGTGAACACGGCAGCTGACTCTGTCTTTGCCAGTGTCATCCCAATGAGGAAGGCGCGCACACTGGAATTCTGCCAAGTGCAGGGAAAATGCAGCAACATCACAACTGACCTCAAAGCACAATCCCATCCCTAACCTCTGACTGGCTAAGGAAAGGGGAAGCTGGGACATGAGAAGTCAATGAATATTAAGTGGGCTATTCTGCTTTTGCAGGCAGTGGTTGTTCAGAATGGGCAGCACATCGAAGCTACACATTAGGAACCAAGTGTTTGCGAAACCCCGATTAGTAACATCCTTCCTTCCCTTTTTACAGCTGTGGACCAAGTGTACAAGGCAGCTCAAGATGGTGTGACCGACCTTGAGAAAAAAATTGGACTCAAGAAATGATGGCCATCGTGATATTGAAATCAGACCAAAGAATGTTTGGCATCCTCAGATTCACACTTCCCTCTTCCATTCTGTCGTAATCTTTATCCTTACGGAAAGCATGAAATATATTCTCTCCACGCCCCCTTTTCTGATTTGTAGATTTGCAGTCCAAAGAAAAGAAAGAAAAGGATCATATCGCCACCTTCCTTCAGAAGGAAAAACGTGCCAGATTTGGACAACTGAATTGTCTAACTACCTAGTCCGAGGCATTTTGGCACCTGTGATTGTCATATGGCATGAAAAAAGAAGGCTGCCCCTGAGATAAGATTTTTATATCCCCTGCCAGTCTCACGCCTCATTCTTGTAAAGACAAGACATCACACTACCACCAGTATATCAGGAGTCATTCCAAGGATGGAATTAACCCACCTTTTGTCTGCTTTCTCAAAAAAAATAGCTGTCAACTGGCTGCCCCTGGGCCAAATTAAGCAGTACGTTTATGACCCTCCTAATTTCCAATCCTAGAGGGGAAAGAGGAATGGAAATGAGCAGCATCAGTGACAGAGGGATTTTGGCAGGAAGCCATTTCGGTAGTTAAGGTGTGAAGCTTTGTGCCATGCTTCTACTCTCTTGTTAAAGTGGTCCCCCTCTGGCAACACTAGTTGTTGACCCAGGAGAGAAGGGTTTTATTTTCCAAAGTTATTCATATTGACTTTCCCTGTCCAAAAAATGGTTAGACTCCAGGAGCATGCCATGTAGTGCATTTCTTGGAATGTTTCCCATTGCAAGAAAATGTGGGTTGGTTAGCCCTCCACCCTATAGGACCACAAATAATCTGCAATTTGCCATCACTACTGAACAAATAACAATCAATGCGCAACTTTGCTTGTCTTCCTGAGATCTGAACAACTGCACTGTGCATAGCCAACCTGCACCTTGTGTGCACTTCTGCACATAATGTCTTTTACCACTAAACCTGTGAAGGTTTTCTGGTGGGTGTATTTTGAAATAGATCAACTCCTTTCTTGGTCGTTATCTGAGAAATGGGCTTCATCTATATATAGTTTAAAACACAGTAGGTGGAATGGTTTCTGATGCTGTGTTAGTTTGCTCCACCAAGGAGCTAGAGGTGCGCAGCCTGACAGTGCAACACTGCACTGTGAGTTCTCCAAGCAGGATCAAACAATTGGAGGAACTACCACCATCTCTGATTCTCATTATCATGAATGTGCAGAAAAACCCATTGCCACCTGGGATCAGTTTTTGAGATCTCAACAATTGCACTGTGTACTTCCAGGCTGCACTATTTTTAGTTGAAACAGACTGCTTTCTTTAGCAGAGTAGTCTGTAATTGTATTGAAAACTCTGCAGTGATGCAATGTTAAGGCAGTCATAAGAATGGCTCTTAAGGCAGTCAATGGCAAGTATTGCAAAACTGCAAAGTTTATTGAGGAGGGTGCAGGATAGCAATGGAACACTGTGTTGTTCGCTCTCTTTCAAGCAAACACAATCAACCAACCAACCAACCAGCAGGTCATAGCAATACCCATAAAGCATAATTGTTAACACAGAAGTACTATTTGTTGTTTTACCTTTCATGTCTTTCCTTTTCTTGACTTGAATGTTAATAATAATAAATATGCATGACAATCTGAATTCTTTGGGTGCTTACATGTGACTGAGCTCTATGCTGCATTTGCCCCCATGGGAGTTGACAGTAACTTGCAAGGATAAAATCACAGGTGAATAAGTGGTTGTCCAAGCCACCCAACCCTCCATGCCTACCTCCTTTCACTGTA